GGATAGCAGAGGGGATGCTAACGAAACAGCTGCATGCGGCTGGTTTGCCCAGCATCCGGTGCGACCACGTACCTGGGGACGAATGCGGCTGCATGCAGCAGATTTCGTACAGCACGCCTTCCCTGAGACCCAGGGTTGCGAACAGATGTAACATCGCGAGGACTCAAGCCCAGAACCCCAGAGCCCGTCTTTTTGACTTCTCCAGCCGGATCACTCCCCGTCGATCGGACGTCCATTCCCCATGCATAGTTCGGCTTCGCGCGTGCACTCTTTCGAGAGGGGGCCCAACATCATGTTCCACGATGGTCTTCGCCGAGAAGAAAAAGCACACGTCCGAGCGATACCAAGATCAATGTGTGTGATGCCCCCGGGGCCCGAAGAAACAGGGCGCAAGCGCCTGGAGTTAGGTCGGGCATGTCCCCCTACAGGCGGATTTCAGGCAAAAAGTTAAAACCATGCCACAAATCCGCCGACCCTGTCGGCGTGTGGAAGAGGCTTTGTTGCTTGCCCCATCTTCCTCGTCGTTCCTTGTTCCCGTTTCCCTGCAGCGCCGTCGCTTCTGTCCCTTCCCTACAGTCTCCTTCACTGCGCCCGTCGCTTTCACTCCTGTCCTAAAACCTTTTCCTGAAGCGTGTCGGTAAAAACCGAAACGGAACAACATCGCCTCTAAGTCAAAGGGAAGCCCCTTCCCTTTCTTCCCTTCCCCGCCAGGGGTCCCGGGGGAGGTCCCGGGGGGGGTCCTGAGTCATTTACGCCGGCCTCCCGGCGTCGCTTCTGTTCCTTCCCTACAGCCTTCTCCTCCACTGCGCCCGTCGCTTTCTCTCCTGTCCTACAACCTTTTCCTGAGGCGTGTCGGTACAAACCGAAACGGAACAACGTCGCCTCTGAGTCAAAGGGAAGCCCCTTCCCTTTCTTCCCTTCCCCGCCAGAGGGGGGGGGGAAGGTCCCGGGGGGGGTCCCGGGGGGGGTAGCGGGGGGGGTCCTGGGTCAGATACGCCGGCCTCCCGGCGTCGCTTCTGTCCCTTCCCTACAGCCTTCTCCTCCACTGCGCCCGTCGCTTTCTCTCCTGTCCTGAAACCTTTTCAACACCTTTTCCTGAAGCGTGTCGGAACAAACCGAAACGGAACAACGTTGCCTCTGAGTCAAAGGGAAGCCCCTTCCCTTTCTTCCCTTTCTCGCCAGAGGGGGGGGGTCCCGGGGGGGTCCCGGGTCACATACGCCGCCCTCCCGGCGGAGCAATGTCGCCATTGACTCCAAGGGTTCCTTTTCTTCTCTTTCCCGCCAAGACGGGAGGAGGTCCCCAGGCGACGTCCCGGGGTGCTCCCGGAACGAATAAGGCCCCAAGATTCTTTCCAATCGGCCCCAAGAAACCCACAACAGACCCCCAGGACATCCGAAAGGGCCCCTAAGAGGCCCCCAGCAGCCTCCCAAGAGACCACAGAATTCCTCCCGAGGCCCCCGAGAGCGTTCCCAAGAGACCCCAAGAAACATCCCTAAGGACTCGGGCCCACGTCAGCGTCGTCGTCGCCGCCGCCACCGCCGCCGCCGTCGTCGACGCCCCCCTTCAGGGTCGGCGGCACCGGCCGTAAGGCCTTCGCAATATTCAAAAAAAGCCAAACAATGATAGAACATCGTCCCCATAATATTGTTTAGTATTGTTGAATCTTCCTCCTGTAGAGAGACGAACCAGCCGTAAGCCTGGAGCGTGTCTGAAGCAAACTATGGCGCCAGGAACTCACGTTTTTTTGGGTGGGCTTGTTTCCCACCGCGACCACCACCACCATAAGTAGGAGGGGGAGGGGGTCCTCCTCCTCCTCCTCCTCCTCCTCCTCCTCCTCCTCCTCCTCCCCCCCTCCAACTCATAGTGGTGGGCCCATCAATCCCCCCCCCCTAGTCGTCCGACCTCCGCGCGCTCGTCACTCCTTCTCCGACAGGGGCACCCTGCTGCGAGGCGCCGCCGCAGCCGTGCCACGCGCCTGGTCCGCGGGCCGCCCAGCCCGCTGCGCCCGATCCGCCACGCCCGACCAGGTCCTGACCATAAGTTGGAGGGGGGAAGGAGGAGGAGGAGGAGGAGGAGGAGGAGGAGGAGGAGGAGGAGGAGGACAAAAAGGAGAAGGACGAAACGGAGGAGGATTAGGAGGAGTAGGACGAAGAGGGGGAGGACGAAGAGGGGGAGGAGGACGAGGAGGAGGAGGAGGAGGAGGACGAAGAGGAGGAGGACGAAGAGGAGGAGGAGGACGAAGAGGAGGAGGAGGAGGAGGAGGACGAGGAGGAGGAGGACGAGGAGGAGGAGGACGAGGCGGAGCGTCCAGAAAGGTCCCTTGGTCAATCTACCCTTGGCCCCTCTCACGCCGCTCGCTCAAGCGCCGCCATTCGCCCATCGGCAGGTCGGTGGCGAGGCGAGCAGCACGGGCGATGAGGAGAGAGGAAGGCGGGTCGGGCGAAGTCGAGCCTGGGGCCCGTCGCTTCGCGTGCAGCAAGCGGTGGAAATGATACAGAATGACAATCTGACGCAGGCGCACCAGAGAGCACTCCGACAGAGCAAGACGGTCAGAGAGGGAAGCAGGGAGGGAGAGACGGGAGACCATCGCAACATTCCAGAGAAAACGACGGCACTCAATATAGTGAGATAGGCTATCTCGGGCGCATTCGCACCCGAGCAGGCAGCCCTGGTCGACATTCCTTAGTCTTGTATCAGTGACCCACCCCCCCGTCCACGTGCGGATGGCGGCCATCCGCCAAGAGGGGGGGGGCCTTGGCAAGCATTGAATTAATGGCATCCCAGTCGAATGACGAAGAGGCCTCGAGAGAGATCGAGAACCATTTGACGAGACGGAGACGCAGGCAAGCGATAAGAGAACGAGGAGGGGAAGAAGGGGCACGGGGGGGGGGCAGATAAATAGCAGGACGGATACCTCTCAAGAGAGCTCGCTGCATTTTGAGTCTGGGGCCAGCCCTGCCAGCAGCGCCAGATCGTTCTACCCTCTGCGGCGTAGATCGTTCTCGCGCAGCACGCCGCTCGGCCGCCAGGGCCGCCAGCCCTTCGAAGGCCGCCCTACGGTCCCGCCCCAGCGACGACCGAGCTTCCGCCGCCTCCCGCAGAGACCACGCCACCGCCGGCTCCCGCCAGAAGGAGGGCCAGTGGCGGAGCTCCTGGGCTCCGATAGGGCCGCGCCAGCGCAGCTGGCCAACTTGGGCATGCTCCCACGCAGCGGCTTCAAGGAGGCCGCACATCCTGGACCGGCACTTTTTAAAAGACAGGGCAGTCCTCATCTTAGCGGCGAGAGCGTTGCTTCGGATACCCTGGACCCGCGGACCACCGAGGGAGTCGAGGTCGAGGAAGCAGGAGGCAGAGAGCCAGGATCCAGGAGCCCGAAACACACGAGTCAGCAGATCTTTCTCTCGCCGCTGGCGGGACCGAGGGATCTCATATAGTTGCGACTTGTAAGAGAGCACACTGAGCGCTCGTTCGTGGTAGAGCGAGATATTGGCCTCAGTGTCGGCGTGGGACCGTGCCAGGGCGGCAACGCGGTGCTCCAGCTTCGCTGCTGGTGCTGCCCACTGCTCTTCATTCTCTGCAGCAGGGCTCCTACCGTGCAGCCGAGGTGCTCAAGCGTAGGGCCAACCTTGAATTCGGCCCAGGGCGCACACACGGAGTCTAGCATCTCGGACGTCGGAGCACTGAGATCGTCCGACCACGGTGCCCAAAGAGGGGTGGCACAGCATTTCGAGGGCTTTAAAGCGAGCCCTGCCAATCTGTCCGAGTTCTTGAAAATCCTAGCGAGCTCCCTGAGGCCAGCCTTTCCCCACACCACCGCCCCCACGTCGTCCGCGCACCACCTCCCGACCCCCTTGCCAGCGGCCTCGAGGGTGCGCTCCATATCCGCGCAAAACGGATGAGCCGCTAGGACGAACAGACTGCCAGAGAGAGGATCGCCCTGGAGGACCCCAGCAAGGATGAGGAAGAGGAGGCCACGGGAGCAGTCGGAGCTAACGGCGGCAGCCATAAGGTAGTTGGCGCGGATCGCATTCACCAGGGCCTCAGGGGCGCCCCATTGGGACAGGGCCTCCCAGAGCCATGAGTGGGCCACCGAGGGGAAAGCATGGGCGTAGTCAAAGGCATGAAGCAGAGGCGAGGCAAATTCAGGTGGTGGGTGATTAAGAGCACGCGTGCTTGCGATTCACGCGTGGCTGTCGAGCTCAATTAAATTTTCGAGAAAGTGACGCTCACAAATGAATCCGCGCTGGCTGGGCGCCACTGCCGCTTGCACTGCTCTCTTCAGAGGGTGGTTCAGGGCGGCGCTGATCGCCTTGGCCCCCGTATTGCGCAGCGACAGCGGGCGCGTGCATCCAGGGGCACGCGAGACGCTCACCATGTCGGCCGCCAGCGAGCCCTTCGGGAGGAAGATGCTGATCGCGTGGTTGTAGTCCGAGCGCATGGGCAGGCCATCCAGCGCCCACACCAGGGCGCGGTGGAGAGCCTCCGCGCCGCCATCGGCCACAGCCCAAGCCGCGGCTGGGAGGCCGTCAGGGCCAGGGGCCGCAGGGCGCGCGCGGCGGAGGGCCTCCCGCACTGTCGCCACTGCGGGCGGGCAGAAGGCGTCCCAGTCGACCGCGGGGACCCCGAAGCGCTTCAGGTAGGCCGGCTGCCCTCGGGCCCTCTGCTTGGAGATTGCGGGTGGCGTTGGCGGGCAGAATACCTTGCCCCAGTGCTGGCCCAGCGCCGCGTTAATGTCGGCGGCCTCGGTCAGCTCGGTGCCTTCCGTCTCCAGGCACGCGAGGTATCGCCGAGCGTTGAAGGAGGCCCATAGTCGCGCCCGTCGCCTCAGAGCCCGCTGCTGAGCCACGAGTTGGCGCCGTCGGCATTCAGCGGTCTCCTGCTGGGCTGCCTCTTCAAGGGCGCGGCGCCTGCTCGCAGCATCCTTCCTCTGGGCGATGTTGTATCTCCTCTGGAACTCCGCATAGTCGAGGATCTCAACCGAACGAGACTACGCCGAGGCTTTGACCAGCTCACGAGCCCAGGCGTTCTGCGCCACCACCAGCTGCGCCAGCTTCCAGTCTTGGCGCCAGAACGCCCTGGCCAGTTGGCGCCAGATGATGGCTGAGGCCCCCTTGGTCCAGCCTTCGGCCACGAGGATCTCATTCTGGACGTCCTTGGCCGCTGCCTGCAGGATCCGCGTGAAGTACTTGTACTCGTCGGGTGGCTCTTGGCTCTGCAGAGGGACCATCGCCAGGTACCCGTCAACGATCTCCTTGAAGCGCGGTCGCTGGATCACGGCAAGGGGGATGGCCGCCGGCGTGTCAGGGCGTCGGTGTCCAGGCGTCCTCCGCATCAGCGATGCTGCGACCAAGGAGTGATCGCTAATCCCTCTGATGTGCATCTCGCGCGCTTCGCCTCGGACTTGACATGTCTGCCAGCCTTGGCATAGCTGCCACCTCGGGACCCCCACGAACACGCGGTCGATGGAGGAGCTGGTGCGCGTGCTGGCGTTCCAGTGCGTGGGCTTGCCTGGCATCATCTCCGTGGCCTCCCGCAGCGCTTCCAGCCACTGCCGCTGGCCAGGGCGTCGGGCCAGGCGTGCGGTCTGGCCAGAGGCGGGAGCCGCATGTGCGCGGCCGCCACCGCCACTGCTGGGCTGCGCGACTTGCGCCTGCTGGGGCTGGTCGTCATCCAGGAAGTTGTCTGTCTCGTCATAGTCGCCGAAGTTGAAGTCACCCACGATGAAGGTGGAGCGGGTGGCAGGGCACTGGTGAGCCCAAGCCAGATCCTGCCGAAGGCGTTGGGCGACGCGTCGCCGTTGTTCAGGTGAAATATCGTGGTTGTGGATGTCCCAGTGGATGAAGCTGCACGGCTGACTCCCCATAGCCGTGGGGCGAACTTCACCACAGAGCCTGAGAATGCGGCCAGGGACCACTTCCTCAGGAACAAAATCGCAGGCGTAGCCATCAGCAGTTGCTGGCACCACCGTGGCCACACCTCCTGCATCTTCTCGACCTCCTGTCATGCACGAGGCAAGGCAGCAGAACGGTCTCCCCAGTCGCTCCAAGAGTACCTGCATGCTATGTACGGAAGCATGCGTCTCCTGCAGCGCCAATATCATTGGCCCCTTCCAATGTCGCTGAATATATGCAAGCTTCTTCTTGATCTTCATGGTGGCATTCTTCCCAGACTGCTTTAGCGCCCGACAGTTCCAGGTCCCCAGGTGCACACCATTTCCGTCACCTCCCCATGCACGCGATATAGTGTCAAAGAGTCCACTGCTGCGCCTCTGGCTCCAGGACACGATCCACCACCGCCTGCAGGGCTTCCTGTGTCTGGCCGATCGCGCGCACCGCCACCATGTTCCACGAGACCGTCGGCGTGGCACCAGGTGACGCAATGGAGAGCTTGAGCAGCTGGCGCCATTTGACCGTGATGGCATTGGCTTCCTTGTCTGCGAAGAGTCGTGCTTCGATCGTCTCTTGGAGGGCGGCCTTGATACGCTTGAGGTAGATCTCATGTGAGATCTGGGACTAGTTGCGGTCGCGGCCCACGCTGAGGGGGACGCTTGGACCATTCATTCGGCAGCACTGCAGCGAACTCCCTCCACGCAGATGGGCCTGTACGTAGGAGGCCCACGAGCTTTCCCACGCGCCTCGTGGCCAGGCCCACAGCACCCGCACAGCGGAGCTTGAAATGTCTCCCCATCTCCTCTCCCTCCAGCCTTGTCGCCTCAGGGGTGAGGTTGTGCAGCTCGGCGTCCACCAGGAGCTGCTGCAGCGCATGCGCGACCGCCTCCCTCGGAACGTTCGAGCGCGCCACGATGGACAGGATGGTGGGGTCGATGGGCCTGGACCAGCCCGTCTCCAGCATCGGGGCCTGCGGGGTGGCCGACGCCACGACTCCCATCTCTGTGCGGAGGTCGGCCATCTCTTGCCGAAGGCGGCCGAAGTCTGCCATCCGCTGCTCCATGCATCCCAGGCGCGAGTCCACAGCAGCGAAGCGGGCGTCGATGGCCTGGGCGAACTCCTGCTGGGTGGACTGGAAGATCTGCGAGAGGTGGAGGAGGAGGACGAGGAGGAGGACGAGGAGGAGGACGCCCTCCCCTTCTCACTTGTGGTGGTGGTGGAAAACAGGCCCATCAGACCAACCTCGAGCTCCATCCCTGTCCCTGCGAACGACGAGCCGGAGGCGATGGCCGTGTGGGCGATTTCGGAAACCCTGAGCCCAAAAAGGTTTGCATCTCCTGGGGACACATGTTTCACTTCCGCCGCCTTCCGCCGAGCTTCCTTTTCGAACACTACGCCCGCAAGTCTCAGCAACAGGGCGTCTCGCGGTGGGCCCCGCTAAAAAGTCGACCGAAACCGGCGCGACGGAAGCACGTAAGATCCCGTCGGGGGGCCAAGAGGAAGCACGCGCGGGGACTGCCGGGGACGGAAGAGGCGGACCAGCCCCATCTCCATCTCCAACGTGCCACCCCTACGTGCTCCCACCTCTGTGAGAGCAGCACTGCAGGGACAGCCCCCCGCCCTCCCCCCTAGGAGAGTGGGAGGGGCTACCTGCGCATAAAAAGTTAAGACCTGCGGCAATAACCTAACTCGAACTCGTGCCCTCGCCTCGAATCGTCGGTCCGTGCGTGGAGCGACTCTGAGCAGGGCGAGCGAGCTGAAAGAAGTGAGAGAGTGGGAGCTGGGAGGACCCCCTAGGAAAGGGCGATGCCGTTACGACGCTGGCCGGGCTGCAGGAAGGAGGAGAGCCTGCCGTTACGACACTGGCCGGGCCTGCCGTTACGACGCTGGCCGGGCTGGAAAAGAGAGCGCCTGCCGTTGCGACGCTGGCTGGGCCTACTGCTTCTTGGCTTTCTTCTTGCCCTTGTGCTGCGCCGTGCCCTTTTTGAATGCGATTTTCTCGATTGCCTTCGCCGTCCTGCAGCGGGGGGCGCGGTCGAAGCCCAAGTTGACGTGGCAGGCTTGCAAGCACCCGTTCAGGCGCAGCGTCATCAGCGCTGCCTTGAGATCCACGTGGCGGTTCACGGCGAACACCCAGCGCACGCTCGGCTTGTCCTCCTCGTCCGCGTCGCCCTGGTTCGTCAAGTCGACGCTGAAGCAGCGGGTCGCGGTGAAGCGGAAGCCCGGGTCCTGGACCAGCGTCGCGTACTTCGAGAGAGTGTCGAGGGCCTGGAGGGTCTCCTCCGCCATCGTGCCCTGCTTCGCCGCGTCGGTCACCTTCGCGCCGGCTGCCTTCGCGGCCTCGTGGAGGCGAAAGATGAGCTGCTTGGCGTACACGTCGGGGCGCTTGCCCAGCGGGTTCCCCTTGAACTCGCCGTCGCCCGCGTCCTCCTGAGCCTTCTTGTTCGCGGCCTGGTAGCGGTCCACGCCGGCTGCGAGAGCGCGCTGCAGCGGGCTGTCCTGCAGCAGTGTGACCGTGAAGTTGTCGCCCCTCGCGCCCCCGCGATTCTTGTCCTCGTGTTGCAAGAGCAACTTGGCCATGAGGAGCGTGAGGCGACGTGTCTCCGCGCCCCCGCCCTGACTGTCGGCGGCCGCCTCCTCGCCCCCCTTGGCCCTTCCCTCCTCTGCGGGACGCTTGGCACCTTTGGTCATCTCCTCGATCGGCGCGAACATCGACATCGCCGTAACGCTCCGCAGGCGGAGGCAGGCCTGGAGGCGGAGGGGGAGGCAAGCCCTGAACCCCAAAGGCTGGTGCTGCATCAGGGCGAAGCGCACGACGCCGCCCAAGTCGAACGTGTTTCACGAGACTATCCTTGCGGGTGAACTCCTTTTGGCACCTGGGACATTGCTTTGCTAGAACCGTTTCCAAGGAAAACTCGGTAGGGTTCGCTACGACGTGGCGCACGCGAAAGCGGTGATTATCATGACCTTTGGGACCTTTGCAAAGACGACCGCATTCAGGACAAGGGAGGAGCTCTACATCAGGGGCGTCACCTCGGGCTTGTTGTAGCTCAAACTCAGTGCTAAATGACCGGACTTTTCGGATGAGGTGCACAGGGACCTTCAGGAGCCACTTGAAACCTTCAGCGTCCACGCGGGGTCCAGTAGCAGGGAGGTGGTAGTCCTGGATGGCCTGGGCACGGTGGGCCCCTCCAAGGACCTGCCAAAGCTTGTCAATATCCTGGGCTAGAAGATGGAGTAGTGAGGTGCATTCGCGACGTCCTTCGGGCTCAAACGAAAAACGACCAAACACGGCGGCACGGACAGCTCGAGTAGGGTCGTAATCGTCGACGTCTCCATCGGCAGCGACTCGAAATGCAGGGCGAAGGACATGTTGCCACCATCGGAGGCGACGCTCCAGCAGAGTAGAAACAACCGTGGGCATCTTAGCCTGTTGGCGAATCTCGCTATTTGACATTTTGTACACATGCGAAGGCGACTTCAAAAGTGAACGCAAACACCGGTTTTGCCATCTTTCCAGCTTTTCAAATCGCCAGCAGACAAAGGTGCAACCTCGAGAGCATACAACGCAGTTGATCGCACCAAGGAGGTCCACAGACGTATCCGGAGATGTCGGCTGAAATGTCCCTTGAACGCTCGGGTTTGGAGGCGTGCATATGCCGCCGTGGCTGCCTGCACTCGGTGGCGTACCTCTTCTGAGTAACTACCGTCAGCACGAAGACGAACACCCAAGTACCGAACATATGCGGAAGCATGTATGTGCACAGGCCACGAAGAAGACGACATGGTCACTCCGGTGGACTTAGCCTTGATGCTTTTCTGCCGCTGCTTACTGTCCTTCCCAGAGAAAACCAGCAAAAGCTCCGTTTTGTCCCCGTTGACCTTCATGTTACCTGCCGAAATTTCGTTTCGAAGAAAATCCAGAAACCCACTTACCTTGCTGAAGTCCGGCACGATCGTGAAAGCTAACAAATCGTCGACGAACTTAACATGTGTGAGATCAATGTGATCATAATCGCCAGGAGACAATACATCGATATGCCGCAGCTTCCGGAGGGAAGGGTCGAAGACGACATCGACGCAAGCGAACTCAGATTCCCGTCGGTGTTGCGCTAACCCCCCTGTAAGCATGTCGTATACGGCGATGAAGAGCGCGGGGCCCTCGACGGACCCCTGACGGACACCGCGAGGGACTAGAAGCTTGCGTGCAGGCCGGTTAGTTCTGACGTCCCTGGCTATGTAGCACGTGCCGTCGTGTAGCTCCTCTACTGTCAACAAAACATCCTGGGAAAGGGCAAGACGGCGCAACGCTGCCCAGATGTCGGCCCGGTCGACTAGATCAAAGGCTTTCTCGAGATCAATCAAAGCAGCCACCAATATACCTGGCGTCTCCCGGCCCGCAGATCTGGAACGTAAATGGCAAATACGATATCGTCGAAGGACTTCCCCCACCAGTGCAACGGCGTCCCGTGTAGCCCGTCCCTGTAGTGCTCCAAACTGGGTGGCCGAGATTTTGGGTGCTAGGGCACGTAGGGCGGGCATGGCAGTGACGTTCATATAGACTTTCCCCATGTGCCCAATCAGGTTAATGGTGCGATAATGGTCGCGCGCATTACGACCGTCACCCTTTGGCTTGCGAAGGCTGACCGTTTCCCCATCCTTGAAACGTTGTGCGGAACGACCGTAGGCCTGACAGGCATGAAAGACACCATGAAGAGGCTTTAGAACTACAGGGCGACATAGTTTCCAGACTTCAGCAACAGCTCCTTCAGGGGGGTCGTCGGGCGGCTGGAATGGCGACCACTTCAAGACTGGGGCGGACTTGTAATTCGGCATGCGATCGA